TGGGAGGCAGGGCTGAAAACAGGAAATGACAGCGCTTATCGGCAGGAAAGAAAACCTGGAAGTTTTGGCTTTGTGGTGCTTTTGGTTTGTCAGCCTGGAGACTCCATGGGGAGCAAGAGCTTTCTGTGCTGGCCTCTTTGGTGTGGGAGGAGTCTTTGAATGCAATTTTGGGAGTTGGTCTGGCAGTTGGGAGGCAGGTGTGGAAACAGGAAATGACAGCCCTTATCGCCAGGAAAGAAAGCCTGAGGGCTTTGGTTTTGTGGTGCAGCTGGTGTGTCATTCTGGGCACTCCATGGGGAGGAAGAACTTTCTGTGCTGGCCTCTTTGGTGTGGGAGGAGTCTTTGTTTTAATGCAATTTTGGGTATCGGCCTGGTAGTTGGGAGGCAGGTGTGAAAACAGGAAATGACAGCCCTTATCGCCAGGAAAAAAAAGCCAGCAATCTTTGGCTTTGAGGTGGAGTTGGTTTGTCAACATGGGGAGTCCATGAGCAGCAAGAACTTTCTGTGCTGGGACCTTTGGTGTGGGAGGAATCTTTGTTTATATGCAATTTTGGGAGTCGGGCTGGCAGTGGGGAGTCAGGGCTGAAAACAGGAAATGACAGCGCTTCTTGGCAGGAAAGAAAGCCTGGAAGCTTTATCTTTGTGGTGCAGTTGGTTTGTCAGCCTGGAGACTCCATGGGGAGCAAGAGCTTTCTCTGCCTACATCTTCGCTGTGGGAGGAATCTTCCTTCGTATGCAATTTTGGGCGTCGATCTGGCAGTTGGGACGCAGGTCTGAAACCAGGAAATGACAGCCCTTATCGCCAGGAAAGAAAGCCTGGAGGTTTTGGCTTTGTGGTGCAGCTTGTGTGTGATTCTGGGCACTCCATGGGGAGGAAGAACTTTCTGTGCTGGCCTCTTTGGTGTGGGAGGAGTCTTTGTTTATATGCAATTTTGGGAATTGGTCTGGTAGTTGGGAGGCAGGTGTGAAAACAGGAAATGACAGCCCTTATCCCCAGGAAAGAAAGCCAGCAATCTTTGGCTTTGTGGTGGAGTTGGTTTGTCACCCTGGGGAGTCCATGAGCAGCAAGAGCGTTCTGTGCTATCACCTTTGGTGTGGGAGGAATCTTTGTTTATATGCAATTTTGGGAGTCGGTCTGGTAGTTGGGAGGCAGGTGTGAAAACAGGAAATGACAGCCCTTATCGCCAGGAAAGAAAGCCAGCAATCTTCGGCTTTGTGGTGGAGTTGGTTTGTCAGCCTAGGGAGTCCATGAGCAAGAATAGCTTTCTGTGCTATCACCTTTGGTGTGGGAGGAATCTCCGTATGCAATTTTGGGAGTCGTGCTGGCAGTTAAGAGTCAGGGCTGAAAACAGGAAAAAATAGCCCTTATCACCAGGAAAGAAAGCCTGGAAGCTTTGGCTTTGTGGTGCAGCTGGTTTGTCAGCCCAGAGACTCCATGGGGAGCAAGAGCTTTCTGTGCTGGCATCTTTGGTGTGGGAGGAATCTTAGTCCGTATGCAATTTTGGGAGTTGGTCTGGCAGTTGGGAGGCAGGTCTGAAAACAGGAAACAATAGCCCTTATCCCCAGGAAAGAAAGCCTGGAAACTTGGGTTTGTGGTGCAGTGTTTGCCAAGCTGGGGCGTCCATGAATAGCGAGTGCTTTCTGTGCTGTCATCTTTGTTGTGGGAGGAATCTTTGATAATATGCAATTTTGGGAGTTGTTCTGGCAGTTGGGAGGCAGGGCTGAAAACAGGAAATGACGGCGCTTATCGGCAGGAAAGAAAGCCTGCAAGCGTTGGCTTTGTGGTGTAGTTGTTTTGTCAGACTGGAGGCTCCATGCACATCAAGAGTTTCTGTGTTGGCATCTGTTGTCTGGGAGGAATATTTGTTTGTATGCAATTTTGCGAATCGGGCTATCAGTTGGGAAGCAGGGCTGAAAACAGGAGAAGACTGCCTTTTTCTGCAGGAAAGATAGGCACGAAGCTTTGTCTTCTTGGTGCAGTTGGTTTGTCAGCCTGGGGCGTTTCTGGCGAGCTAGCGTTTCCTTGCTGGTGAAGCCAGACAAGGCCTAGAAAGCAGAATATAAGTCAGAATTTAAGAATATAAGTAGAATATAAGAATATAAGCAGAATATAAGTATAAACGAAAGCTCAAAGAACTTTGCCAACACTTAGCTAGGATTTACTGCCAGAAACTAGAGATAGAGATTAGGTGTTACCGTACACTAAACGAAATGCACACACCCCCAACCTAAGTAAGATAAGTAAGGGGCAAAGTGGAGCTTGGAGTCTAAGAATCTTGCAAAATTCTCCATGTAGTCTGCCAAAATCAAGAAAGTTGAAAAGTTCATGAAGATGATGGAACCTGGACCCGGGGCTGATAAGGATGAAGAACAGGAACGACCCTCCTAGATTCTCCCCAAAAGGAAGACCGTGCCCCTGACTCCGCCTAGACTCTGCCTATTATGAATATTATAGTCAGATGTTGCAATCATATGAATATTTATGTAAACATGTTCAATCACCTGTAGAAATGGTATAAAAACCTGTAAATTCACTGGAAAGGCAGAGCAGTTTGTCCAGCGCGAGCTGGCTGCTCTCCAGCATTGCCTAATAAACATACCTCGCTGCTTAAAGACTAAATTTTGTCTCTGAGCAGTTCTCTGCGCCTTCTTGGGGGCAATTATTGGCATCATTTTTGGCCAGCCAGCCAGGAGCAGTAGACTCCCCAGGGCGCTGATCCAGGGGGCCCAAGCGACGCTCTCGGGGCCCCTTAGACAGAATTTTGTCAACAGAGCCTCCCGGGCCCCTTGGATCCACGTCCCGGCGGACGAACCTCCTCCTCCAAATTAAGAGGTATGTATACTTTTGTATTGTAATTGATAAAGAAAAGCGCTTTCAAAAAGGGAGCCGGAGGGATGCCTCGGCAGTATCCCTGAAAACTGGGTTAGAGTCCCAGAAATTATGAGCAGCAGACCTGAGGTCACGTTTATTTTCCCACCCTTTTCCTATGTAGGATAAATATGTGAATGTTTATTAAAAAAACACAACAAAACAAACCAAAAAGCTGTTCAAGAATAGTGACTACATAGAAAGAACAACTCTGGCACCACTTGGATCTTTGCGAATGCAGAAACCCTGTCACCCTCATCATGGCATCTAACGTCCTGAAATAATGTGGGTTTGAGGTAGGCAAAGAGTTTTTATATCTGAGTTATCAAACACGAGTAAAAGTTGTTGATTTTTCCTTGCATCTTTGAAACAATGTGGCTGTAGGCCAGTTGGTTGAAGAAAGAAAGCTGACATTAGCTTGAAAGGTTTATCAATCCCAGTTAATCATCTCCTGTCGTGCAATTACAGAAGGCGTATGTGCAGCACAGTGCATCAATCTAAACCTTTCTCCAAAGGTTGATAAATTTTGAGCAGAGAGCTTCTGAGCATTTATTTTAATTTAAATGTATCTTTTCTGTGGTTGTTCAAGTAGCTAATGTGGGTGCTTATCCATGGTGCAGAAAGCTTATTGAGACTCAAGCTTAAAAGTGTCCGTGAGTTACAGCATTAATACCAGCAAAACTGTCTTGCTAGTAAGTCAATAATTTTGCATGGCAAAAGTGAGATCCAGCAAAGTATTTTAAGTTCTCACTTCTCCCAGCAACACACAAGTTTCAATTTCACAGTGAGGAAAAGCTGCAACTCTAACCTGATGTACATGGAGCAGCACCGGGTTCACAAAGTGACCTTAAGTATTTTCATGAAAAGAAAGCACAAACTTCTCATGTTATGTTGTACTTCCATAAAAACAGTGGGCCTTCCTCATAGTAGTCAGAAAGAACAGGGATGGTGTACAAGTCACAAGTGTGCAGTAAAAACCCTCACTTAAAACAGTATTTTTGGGCAGCGTTTCGCGGGCACGATAACATGCTTGTTTTTTGCTCAGTGCTAAGTTCTTCACTAGCGTTTTAAAGAAAAAACTGCATCTCCCCGTAGTGACAGTGGCCATTTGGAAACTCGAGAATTTGAACTGGCGTTTCCCAGGAGAGGACAAAGAAACGGGACCCGTCGCCGTGCAGGTCCCCTTAAAGAAGGGAAGGCAAGAAAGTAGTCCAGGGCAGAGACAGCCCCCCCTCAGGCTGCCTCTGGAGAGCCGCCTTCCATGGGCGAGTGAGCGCGTACAGAGCCGGACACTTGTCCAGGTACGCCACAATCGTGCACATCTTGAGTTTTAAAACACTTCATGTGTAGGACAATGCGAACACACTCATAAATGAACTGTTCAAAGGAGATTTTCAGTCTCTTTAGTGCGAAAGGCTGCGTGCCCGTGGATTGTGCTACACTCTGCTGCAAGGGGAAGAGGTTTAAGGCCGAGTGTCAGATTGACTGGAGTGTGCACAGTTTCTGAAGAGGTGGCTTTTGGTCAGTTGTTTTCCCGTGTGACCTAGAGTTTCCTTCTGCCGCTTAAGGCTGATATTGAAAGTTTCCAGTGCAATCAATCCATATGTGGTGTTGGTTATTTTTGTTACCAGAAGTAATATCCAAAGAGGAATCATAAAGTGCAAAGTACTGTCGGTATAGCAAACTTCAGAAAAACGAGCTGAATTCCGTTGTGTTAGGACTAGATAATCTCCAAGCTGCACATACTTTTTAAATTTACACAAATGAATAAGAGGTCATAGTTGTTTTTCAGCTAAACATTTACATTTTTTTAGATGTTTTCCTATCACATCTGTGAAAAACTGCACTGTGCTTAGCGCTTGAATTTTTCTAGACCTTTCTTCCCATTCGTATCCTTGATGTTCTTTGCCTGTTTCCAGGTCAGTGGCTTTATTTCATTTGTTGGTGTAGAAGGTAACACTGATAATATGTTGCCGTTTGAAGTATTCCTGCTCCAGTTGTGGTAGTAGATGACTGGAGTCGTGTTTTCTATTTGAATGACTTTGATTATATTTGGGTTTCAAGTGTGTGAGGTGGCACTGGGACTTAACTGAGGCTGTAGTTTTACCATGGCACAGCGATGTGTTCTCACTGCCTGTCAGTGTGGTCGTGCCTGTGGCAAACAGGTAAGAACCATCACGTGAGCAGTTAACACACAGCAGCGGATGTTTGGTTATGTCCTGGCTTGCTTTGTGGTAGATCATTCCTCTTCCTTACTTTAAAGATTAGTCATTACGCTTGAGTAAATGGTAACCAAATCCTTACATTCTCTGTGATTTCTGTCACGTAAGTCTCCTGTAAGACTCTCTGACTTCAAATGCAACAGATGCTTTGATGGTTCTTGTGGAAAGCTGAATTTCTGGCAATTGTTACAGGGGTTGTAGCTGCTGTGGCATTCTAAGGAAAACAGGGCTGCAGTAACTCCCACTCTCCCACTAGTTTACGATGGCTGGAGAATGCTTGATGTTTGCTTACTTGTTTTCCTGTCAAGTGTCATTATGCCTAGTAAGAACTTATTCTTATTTCTTCACAGAATCATTTAAAAAAAGACTACAGAGCAAGATTCTGCCATGGAGGAGGGTAATTTGCATTTAAAGTTTTATTCTTAGATTCTGGAAAACTTATGTGGATTTTTATCCAAGAGCATAATGTCAAAGCTATACGGTGTATCCTATTAATCCGATCATACCATGTTTCCCAAATTTCTTGTATTTCTTAGTGGTGGGAGGAGCAAACAGTGCTGGGGGACAAAGCCCCAAGGTTTTCCTTTGTTTCCTTTGCTGAGGCAGCAAACTATGGTGTTGCTATACCTAAGGTGCTCCTAACTAGGCTGCCTGAGTACAGAAGGAGTAGTCTGTGCAGACATTTTGCCTTTCGAGAAGTAGAGAAATGAAACCCACACAGAGTTCCAGCGTATTTGGACCTTGCTGGTAAGTGCTAGAGATGAGTTGGAGTATTTGTAGTGCTGTAGCATTCTTTAAAGGCACGTCAGAAGCCTGTGAAGTTCTTGTTGCTGGAATCCATTTTTAGACTTGCATTTCACGAGCTTACCAAATCTACCAAATCAGCTGTGTATAATGATCATTATGGGAGTAATACTCCATGTCTTTTCTAGTGTTATTTTGGTTTTGATCAACATTGTCTGGCTAGTGAATCACTCACTTCTGCCCAAAAAATGTTTATTTCAAGAGAGACTTTCTTCATCCCAAAGCTCTTTTACCTCAGGGAAGTAGTTGTGTGTTTTCTTTTTATGTAGAGAGAATTCTTCATTCTCATCATAATCTGTGGCAGTGAGGCTTTTTTCCCTGGAATTCTTATTTTGACAAGTTTCTCTGCAGATATCTATGTGTGGAAATGATAGGTAAAAGTATATTGAAGCTGAGACTAGAGGAAATAATAATTTAAAATATTGAGAAGTAAGAACTTTGCTGCTTTCATATTGCTGGGATAAGAACATTTGATATTTTTGATTTAAAATATTTTTTTTCCTCTTCTTTCTAGAAGTAAGATTGATGTACAGCCAGGTCAAAACGTACTGAAACTCATACAGGATTGTTTTGAAAGTAAGCTCTTATTTGGTGTTTTACTCAATTTGCTGGTAAAAGAAGAAATGATTTCTTCTTTATATTATATTTAGTGGTAAGTAAATAGAAATAAAAATTCGAGATAAAATGAATAAAAATAAAGTTTTTCTCAGGGTCTTGAAAAGCACCCCCCTCCCAGCTGCTTAAAACTGTGTCTTAACTGTCTTATAAAGGTAATCTTTCCTGAGTAGCTGATTCCTTTCTTGTTTGGATTTATGTGACCTTAATAGCTGTAGTAACTTGTTAAAATAAATGAGACCTGGACAATTCCAAGGTCCCCATACTTACAGTGTTTTCTTCATAGGTTGCAGCAGTGATCTTACAATAAACTCTCCAAATGCAACCCTTTGCTCAGCTCCTGTTGTCAAAAATAGGAAGAGGACTTCAATGCAGAGCCAAAGCGTAAGTTAGTTATGGCAATGTCACAGTATAGCTTTGGGTACAGTTTCACTGGGGTACAAATTTAGTTCTGTAGGATTTAGTTCTGTATGAGCATTGAAGAAGCTCCATATGCCACTTGTAACAGTATATAGGCTACAATTTAACCATCTGTAATAGTTGTTGATAATGGGTTTTTTTCTTAGTTTGTTGTGCTCTAACAGTAAATATTCTGTAATTAGATTTGTTTAATAGTTTATTTTCCAGGTTTTTTTTCTAGTGAAAGCTTTTTCACTAGAAAAAGCTTTTTGTCCAGGACACTTAAATTTTTTATGGTCTCAGGTTGGAGCACGCTGCCTTGTTACTGCTGGTGGGTATGGCTGTCTTGGACTCCATTGGAGTTGGTTTTGGCCACTTTGCTAGATATATGGACACAGTTCTTAGCTAAATGGTGAACAGTAGAGTTGAAAGGTGATGCTTGTACAAAAGCTGGTTAACTCCTGATAGTTATCTGTACAATAACTTTATATATATGTATCTTTCTTGAAGGGTGGAAACAAGTTGAAGGCCTTGTTAGTGTGCTGGGAAAATGATGCCAATAATCTAGTTTGTATATTTAATTTTATTGTTTTGATTCTATTTTTTTTAAATAGGATATTCCGTTAATGGCAGGGTTGAGAACAGGCATCCTTTATAGTGGTGTTTGTTTACTTTATTTTGATGTTAGAATACCATATAATGTCAAATAATTTCTTGCAAAACCTCAGCCTGTCTTAAGAAAGGTGAATTAAATTGTTTAAAATAATTCATTCTAATGAAAAGAATAGCTTGCCTGGAGACTAGCAGGATGCCTGTTTAAAGCTGCATATAGATTTTTGCTGTACACACTGTTTTTCCTGTTATTTGAAATTTATAGTTACTTCTAGAAAGTCTTACTTGATAGAAAGTTGAAGTGTTTAGTTAAAATAGAACTGTGATTCACATGAGTGTGATTTAAGGGAAGGAAAGTATATCATGTTCTGTAGAAATTTGTATTCCTATCAAAATACAGTTGCTTTATCAACTATTTTACTTTGTCTCATTATTCGTTACCAACTATGACAGCCAAAGGCAGGATCAACCAACTCTGTGAAAAGAGCCTGTTATTCTCCAGAATCCTCACCTACATCACTGCTAAAACCAGTCAGCAGCAGAGGTTGGTCCCACTAGTACTGAATTAAGGGGTTTTGGGGTTTTTTTTTGTAAGGTTTTGAGTAGAGGAATTAAACCTGTTCTATATATGTAGGACCCAGCCTAAATCTGAGGGATTTCATTAGCAACAGTGAAAAGGCACTGCCTTAGTTATGGCAAGGGGAGAGTAAGAGACTGCATACGCAGCTCCTCCTCTTCCAGATTCACAAGTCCCATTTCTGAGGTCCAGAAGAATGGCACTTCTGCCAACAGAAACTCCACGTATTTCCAAGATTTCTCAGATATTTATCTTCAGATGTACTTATTACATAGTCTCAACTTTCAAGTTGTCTAAGCTGCCATATATGAATACAGTAAGATATATTTTAGTATTTGTAAGGAAGAATAAAAGCCCTTTAAGAGCTAAGAGCAAATTAGTCAAGATATTTAAATGTTAAAAATGGTAAATATAAAAAACTTGATGAAATAGTTTTTGAAGGTAGACAAGGCCATAAAAAAACCCCAATATAAAACAGACAAGCATGGGACTCCAATCGACTGCACACGCATTGTTCCATCCTATCCAGACTCGGACCACCACACAAGGCAGGTTATTTGCACCATCAGTTATACTGCGTAAAACTAATACAAACTCTTACTGTTCTCACTGAACTGTGGGGTTGTCTTGACTCAGTTCTTTAGGAATACATTCAGTGCAGGTAGCTCAGTGTGCAGCTGCATGCCAGTCTCCTTCAGCAAACTTTACATCAAGTTCGAAATACATTTGTATTTACACACTTACATTATGATATTTTAAATAATCTTACCTATTTTATGCCTTGCTATGTTGTCTGACAATGGATCTCTCACTTTGTAATTCAAGTCATCAAAAGTCTCTGTAAACACATTCAAAAAACCACCACCATAGGAATTTACTATTCCTGACTTTTATTCAATATCCCCACTAAAAGCAACCAAGGGTAATACAAGTCCCAACACATTTTGCTATAAACGTGTATGAAACCCAATGTAGACAAGCAGTATATGCAATTAGTAAGCTTGAAAATTACATGAAAACTATATATTCAAGTAAATATTCCTCAGACCTATCCCTCTTGATAAAACACACATTGGAAAATTATGACAAAGTGCAAGGTCAATCAGCTTTATATCACTCAAACCTAGCTTTAGAACAAACTTCTTACAAGAACACACACAAAATTAGGTCTCTGAAGAAAGCACTGCATGAACTAATAACATTCGCATATTCACTTTTGGCTCTAGAATACTAACAAAATGACTTTTTATCTCCAAGGCTCATGTTCATTATGACAACACGTACAACTCATGTTGTGAAACTTAAAATCCAAACCAACCAAACAAAACTTTTAAAAAAACCCAGACACCACAAACCAAACCAACCAAAGAAAACACCCCAAACCAAAATATTCTTGGGTGAACAGGCCATCGGGCTGTACACTTTGGTCCAGGGTGGCCTGAAGTGATTGCATTTAGTACCATCACATGGCAACACATCAAACTGGTACAAACAGAGCCTGAAAAACGTGTTCAAAATATTTTGGAGCGATAACTTTATCCCAGTAGGCTTGATGCCAAACCCTGGAGGGCTTGTTCTTCCAAAGCTAACACAACATAAAGCTGGCATAGTGTACCACCTACTTGGACAGAAATGTAACCACAGCCAATAAAATTTGTTGGACATTTGTTCTGGACAAGCTGAATACAACAGAAATTACTGAACCATCAGTTACAGTTTATAAGAAGCTTATACATAAAATGCAAGAAAATATCAACTTTAAACATTACCTGATGATGTATCATACTGTTCACAAGACTTAGTGCTGGAATCAAATTTATCACAATGTTCTAGAACAGGCCCACTGCAAAAGAATAAAAAATAAACCTGCTTAAAGATGTTAAATGTCAAAGGAACATTACAGCACTACCATATATATAAAAGTTAAGTTTTTTTCAGATCATGTGGTCTGGGTTTTATTTTTCTTTTAAACATCTGTCTACAGTGATTAGACACTGAAGCAAATGACTGTTAGTTAGAAATCATAGGTCTGAAATTCATCAACTCCTCCTCTACTCAGTCACCAGGCAGAAAACTTAGTGTTCACACCTCCTCTCTAAACAGGTTTCTTAAACTTCTTTTTTTCTCCCTTCCAGAATAAAGATACTTTCTTCTGTTGCATTACCTTTCAAACAATTTTCCATATACTGTGATTATGGTACTGCTTTAAAGAAATGTTTTGCATACTATAAGGAATGGACAGTAAAATAGTTTGTCTTTGTAATGAGTAGTCTGTCATGAAATCTCCCCCGTAAAATGACAATTTATATGTGTGACTCCACCAGAGATTCTTTAGCAACCAAATCACTTCTAACAGGACCTCTCTTGCAACCTTAGCATCAGTACCCTTCACCTTCCTTCTTCCTCCATCTGTGGCTGTGCTTCACTGCTTTTACTGTGCCAGTGAAGTTCACCTGTTATCCACCTAAACTCCAAAAGATGCATTTAAATTATCTAAATTACCAAACCTACACTACAAATTCATCCAAGTAAGTCTGCAGTAGTCTCCCTTATAATTAAAAACCCCAAATCCCTTTTTCTGCAGAATGACTGCTTAAGAATTTAATAAATTCACAGACTGCCACTCCTGTTTGCTTTGTCATTAAGTTCCCATCCCATGAAGGGGAAGCTACATGCCTATCTACATGCAAAAAGTTTGGATCATGGATACAGCTCTATACCCCACTTAACGGCAACTTTATTAGTACAGCTGCTATTAGTTCTAGGAGCACTGGTATTTCTGTTCCAAAATCACACACTAATGTGGAAGCAAACCTCAAAGGAAAAAAATCCCCTAAGGCAAGAAACCTACTATGACCCCTTATTTATGACAGGAAGAAGAATTTTACTAGTTTATTAACGGTATTAATGCAGTATTTAAAATCCTCAAGCGCGAATTACAATTCTTTTCTACTAGGTGCTTCACTAGTAGAGCACAGAATGGGGCAGTACTACCAAACTCTTCTGTCTCAGTGGGGCAGAAGTGAGATTAAATTCAAGGTTTTCAGACAACTCAAGAAATTACCTTTCATAGTTCACAGCCTTCTCAGCCACAAAGGAATATCTAGAAGAGAAAAAATTATTCAACCCTTTTAGGGCTGAGTCAATTTTTACTTAATGAAAGGAACCTGTAGGGCAATAATTTTATATCCTGAACAAAACCATAAAAAGACATTAAAAAAAAATTTAAAAACAATGCAAAGAACAACTATTAAAAACTGGTTTTAGGCTCCTTAAACTTCCGTCTTTAGATTGCCTATGACTAGAAAGTTACATCCACAAAAATATATACAATAGCTGAAGAATTAAATGCTGTATTTTCCAAATTTCATTTAAAAATACAACAAACCTGACAGTGAAGTTACTCTGTGGTGGTAGGATTGTATCTACTACACAAGTCTCACGAGAACAGTTTAACCAGCACAAACTTCCTCATGTAAAAGACACTAGATTTGGCACCCACATTTGAGAACAGGATGTTGACTACACCACGTGGTTTCTCTATTAACTATTTGACCAATCTCAAACTATCTCGTAGTTCAATTGGGCCATCACTGCTTAAAAGTTAACAAGGTGTGTTTAATTATCTACCAAGTTATACCACGCTTGTAAGGAATCACATAAAAAGCTTACTGTGGTCCATGTTGCCTGTTACGTTTTCTTTTGTTATTTTTTATTTTTACATCTGATAACTTCTGGTTTTTCCTTGCCATGTTCTGTACAGAAGAGCTGTCAGAATCTGTTTGAGACTCAGTGTCCTCAGGGTTTGAGTAAACAGCTTTATTGGTTCTGCAAGGAATCTTTCCGGGTATCTTCCCTGAATACTTGGCTGACAACTGCTTCTTTTCTGAATTCTTCACACTGTCCATGAGATGCTGTAGTGCTTTCACAGGAGATGGGTTATTTGCACCACCAGGTGACTCCAATGTGTGCAACACATTTCTAGGCTTTTCAGACACAGCCAATTTCTGAATCACGGGAGTCTCTAATTTCTGACGCAAGGGTGTGGTACACACATCTTTCAAATGTACAGGCTCTCTTTCATGCTCTTCTTCACTGGGTTCACTGTCAGAACGCTTCTCTCTTTGCAACTGAGTTTTTTTACTACTACTTTTCTGGACAGATTTTTTAAGCTCCTTCCTTGAACTTAACGCCACTTTCTTAGCTACTTTAACCTTAGGAAGTTTCTGCTTAGCAGTTTGTTTCCTCTTATCTAAATGCTGAGAAGCTTTTGAAGCTGACTGCAGATTCTTGGAAGACTTGAGAGACTTTTTTGGAGACACAGTCTGGTCTTGTTGATGCCCAGATGAGGGCATAGGCAAATCTTCACTTGGCAGCACCCTTGGTTTACATTTTTCTACATCAGATGTTTCTGTTTCCAATCCAGACCATGACAATATCAGTTCTTCAGCTTCTGGTTTCCAGAATGTGTTCTTTTTCTGGTTTGGAGAGTCTTGCCTAAGTGCGTCCTCTTTAGTCTTTCCTATCAATACACAAAACATTTGGACATTAATATCTTTTTACATTAAACAGATACGTGTTGACATCTGAATGCCTAAAAATAAACCAAAAATTCAAAATGGGAAAACAAACAAACAAAAGGTATCACAAAACCAGGTTTGTTCCTGAAGGCTAAAAGAAGGCCTTCTCTAAACTAGAGTGTATAAAAAACCTTTTTAGTGTACTTCCAGTATTTCCTAACAGAAAAAAAAGGGAGCAGAAATGTTACATTTAGCTTGCTATCCAGTTTTCAGTGTTTCCTGCTACAAACCTTTTCACAAATAATTCCTAAACCCCAA